TGTGTGCGTGTGTGTGTGTACCTATGTGTGGTTGTGTGCATTTGTGCCTGTGTGTTTGGTTGTGTATGTATGGTTGTGTCTGTCTGTGCGTGTCTAACTGTGTCCTTCTGTGTGTGTGTCTATGTGTAAACTCGACTGGCACAGACGAAAGTGATTATAGCCCTATAACAGTTATGGGGAATGTTACTTTGTGTGTGTGTGCTTGTGTTAGTCTGTGYCAGTGTACACACTCAAAGACACACACACGGAAAGAGGCACAAACACACAGAAACACATGCTCATGAAAACACGGGCATGGGTTGAGTCTGTGTTCATGTGTGGTACACAAATAACATACAAACACGGACACAAACTGTGTGAGTGTGTCCGTATGTGTCTGTGTGCGTGTGTCGTTGAATGTGTCTGTGTGTGTAAGTGTCTGTGTGTGGCAGGCAAGGCAAAGGTGCATGTAGGCCTTAAACAGTTTTGGGACCACTTTCAGGCCTCTGTCTTTATGTGTTTGTCTGTGTGTCTGTGTGTCTGTGTTTGTGTGTGTGGCCGTCTGTGTGTGCGCGGTTGTGTGTGTCTGTGCACCTGTGTGTACGTGTGTGTGTGTGTGTGTCTGTGTGTATCTGTGCGTGTGTGTGTGTGTTTCTGTGTGCGTGTGTGTGTGTGTTTCTGTGTGCGTGTGTGTGTGTGCCTCTTGATTATACTTCTACAGGTCGTGGGCCTGACCCATTTTTCGGTGCACAGACAGACTACAGGTCGTGGGCCTGGCCCATTTTTCGGTGCACAGACAGACACGCACAGACAGACACAACCACACACACACAACCAAACACAGGCACAGACGGACACAACCACACACAGGTACACACACACACACGCACACAGATACACACACACATGTGTCTGTCTGTGCGTGTCTGTCTGTGCACCGAAAAATGGGCCAGGCCCACGACCTGTAGAAGTATAATCAAGAGGCAGCGCCCAGCCATTCATTCATTCCCGCGTGAGCCACCCGGAAGCGCTGTCACAGCGACTTGTGCAACAAGGTCTGCAGTGACCCCAGAGGACGCAGTGTGTGACTGTGTAAGTGACAGTGCTCTGCGTTTTTACTGAGTGTTTTCACTGTGCGCTAAATGTCACCACACACTATGTGTATGTGCACTGTGCCGCTGTGGAGGTGTGTACGTCACTGTGCACTGTGTCACTGTGTACGGGTCACCATGTATCAGTGTGTGTGTATCACAGTGTCCGTGTGCGTGTCACACCGTGACTGTGTGTCCCCGTGCATGTCACATTGTGACTGTGTCACCGGGTATCTGTGTGAGTCACAATATTCGTCTGTGTGTTTTCACCGTGCACCGAGTGTCACCATGCACTATGTGCCTATGCCCTGTGTCGCAGTCTGTGTCTGACTGTCCAATCTGTCTGATTGCCTAGTCTATCTGCGTGTTCGTCCGATCCGTCTGTCGATGTTTGTTTGTTTGTTGATGTCTGTCCGTTTAACTTCGTTCTGTTTGTCTGACTGTTGCAAGAAAAAAAATGATCAATAGTGAATCCCAGAGTCAAGCAGCATCATACATATGAAACCAAGTAGTCTTGCTCTTGAACCAAAAGCAGGATTGCAACACGAGTTTTCAACAATTAAGAAGACACTATGAGCTTCTAATTGACAGTGCTTAGCATAGCCCCATCACTACCTATGCAGAATCAATGCCCGCATCCTACCTGTGATCGGTGCCCAGATCCCAAGTGGATAGGTCCTACCTATCCTACTATCACCATGCCACACGTTTGTTCGTACAAAAAACATGGACGGAGGTAAGTTTATTTCGCAAGTAATAAGGCCAAATATAATAATAATAATAATAATAATAATAATAATAATAATAATAATAATCATATAGTAATAATGATAATAATAATAAATGTAAGGGAAATAAGCAACGAGGCAAAGGTGCATGCAGGCCTTAAACAATTTTGAGACCACTTTCAGGCCTCTGTCTTTATGTGTTTGTCTGTGTGTCCGTGTTTGTGTGTGTGGCCGTCTGTGTGTGCGGTTGTGTGTGTCTGTCTGTGTGTCTGTGCACCTGTGTGTGCGTGTGTGTGTGTGTTTGTGTCTGTGTGTATCTGTGCATGTGTGTGTGTGTGTTTCTGTGTGCGTGTGTGTGTGTGTGTGTATTTGTGTATGTGTGTATCTGTGTGTGTGTGTATCTATGTGCGTGTGTGTGTGTGTGTACCTGTGTGTGGTTGTGTGCGTCTGTACCTGTGTGTTTGGTTGTGTGTGTGTGGTTGTGTCTGTCTGTGCATGTCTAACTGTGTCCTTCTGTGCGTGTGTCTGTGTGTAAACTCGACTGACGCAGACGAAAGTGATTATAGGCCTATAACAGTTATGGGGAATGTTACTTTGTGTGTGTGTGCTTGTGTTAGTCTGTGACAGTGTACACACTCAAAGACACACACACGGAAATAGACACAAACACACAGAAACACATGCTCATGAAAACACGGGGGCTGAGTCTGTGTTCGTGTGTGGTACACAAAAAACATACAAACACGGACACGGGCTGTGTCAGTGTGTCCGTATGTGTCTGTGTGCGTGTGTTGTTGAATGTGTCTGTGTGTGTATGTGTCTGTGTCCGTGTCCGTGTGCGTGTCTGTGTGCGTGTGTCGTTGTGTGTGTCTGTGTGCGTGTGTCGTTGTGTGTGTCGTTGTGTGTGTCTGTGTCCGTGTGTCTGTGTGTGTCTAACTGTGCCCTTGTGTGCATGTGTTTGTCTGTTAACTTGACTGACACAGACGAAAGTGATTAAAGGCCTTTAGTGATTATAGGCCTATAACACTGTTTTGTTAGCCCGAGACACCTTTCACGAGAGAGAGAGAGAGAGAGAGAGAGAGAGAGAGAGAGAGAGAGAGAGAGAGAGAGAGAGAGTGGTCGTCCACCCAAAGGTAAGTGAACAAGAACTCACGAACGAAAACGAGAGGGTTATGAAAAACAACCTTTAGAATAAAAAATAGAGGGTTTTCAAAATTATCCTTTAGAAAAAGAGAAAAGTCCGACAGAATAACCAAACCAAATCCGACAAAAGAAGTAAACCAGAGATGGTCCACTAAGTCACTCCACACGTAAACTTAAGTACCACAATGCACCGAAAACTGCCACACCTGTGGCGAGTGCCCCTGGGTGGACCTCCCCAGGCCTCGTTCACAGTAATGATGACACTCTCAAAATTGTCAACGGAACGCATGGTTCCCAATACAACGGAACACATGGTTCCCAGTACAACGGAATACATGGTTCCCAGTACAACGGAACACATGGTTCCCAGTAATGATGACACTCTCAAAATTGTCGACCTATTGCGGTCTGACCCACGAACCGAGTGCGCCTTGTTCCCACTTCCACGACCTAAAAGGGAAAGAGCTAGCCTACTCTACACAATAACAATTCTGCAAAAAAACGAAGCCATGTGCCCTCGTTCCTCTAAATGGCTACAATACACAGCAGAACACATGG